TTAACTATCCATCAGAATCACCTTGAGGACTTATTATGACACAGATTCTGTCTTTAGCCCCAGAGTTAATGAATGAAATGGTCTGGGGATGGCCACAGAAGTCCCAGGTGATGCTGTGCAACCAAACAACAGGATATATGTGTTCATCAGAAAACTATGATTTGTTAGAATCTAATCAGTAGGTTTACATAAAGTTAAAATTAAGAATTGAGTAATGGCTGCCACTGTTAATTTGGAGCAGTCAAACTAACCTCACAAAAGACTTCTCCAATGGAAAAAGTGGGAAACTCTTTCCACGGTACACACTGACTTTATTGGCTGTGGTCTTAGTCAAAGCACAGAATGAACCTTGGCCAGCAGCATGAGGTCTCTCAAGCCTGCAGCTGTTGGGAGGAGACTTGCTCTGCCAGTGACTCTGGGCAGGAAGTACCTTGTTAGTACTGATGCATCTATTTTACTTAGTTCAAGGAGGGAAAAAAAAATAAAGCAAAATCCCTAGATTTCTTCAAACCTCTTCTAACACCTACTCTCCCAAAGCTGCCTTGTTAGATGGCTTTTTTTTTTTTTAAACCATGGCTTTTTTACTTCTGTTAACTGACAGCTTAAAGTTCATTATGATGGGAAGATTTTAAAATGCTAAGTTATAAATCAGGCCTGTATCTTTACTCAAAGTGGGATTAATGATAGCATAAATAAAATGAAAATCCAAAATGACAGATAAGCACAGGGCACCCAGACAAAAAGTTTTTGAAAGAGGGCTACTTTGTATCCAGGTCCAAACTGCCCACCAGCTGTCCAGAAAGAACACTAAGATGAGTGCAGCTTTCATTGGAAATAAGACTTTATAGTGTACATCAAGTTCAACAGGACTTCTCACAATGCTACTTTCCAGAACTCTGCCTTGGATAAAGGATTGAGTGCTACCACAATCTTGTCTTTCCAGTAAAAAGCTTAAACTGTGTATTTGTTGATGGCAACCCAGCTTCCTCCGTGTTCATATCATTTTACAGAACTCCTGCCATCCTTCATTCCCTTATCCTTCTAAGTGTTCAGCAACAATGGACAAACAAAATCTGAACTAGTACTACTCCTACCCTAGGGACAACAGTGAGTAAGTTATGCAGTATGATCTGACAATAACTGGCTTCAAGAGGGGGAAAAAAGCTTATAGAGGGGAACTATTAAAAACTTTAGATTTTAAATTCTATGTGCAACTGTTCACACATTTTGGGATGGTTCTTTTGGCTCTAAGGCAAAGAAATACAAATAGGTTCTCTGATAGATGAAGTATATGCAATTACCGTATTAAAAATAACTGGGTATCACCATCATAAAAGGATGAAGAATAATGATCTTCATGCTTGGTTAACAGAGCAGCTCACATCTTGAGAAAAATAACCTAAGGGTTTCATGCATTAACCTCACTAACTCTGTATAGTTGTCATTATCCTGATGTCTTGAAAAACTAGCACAGGACAAATGATCAGGACTCTAGCTCCTAGGCTGGCCCAAATAAAGGATGGATAGCTGCTTCCAAAGACCTCTGAGTAGATGACTGGCTACTAGAGAAGGAAATCAAAAGAGACACTAGGAAGGATAAAATCTTTCCAATAGAAATATAGTATTTCAAGGACAAAGAAAGATGTACTGTCTCAAGGTTATAAGTTTTCACACTGTTGGCCAAGTGGCTTGGGCCTTTCTTTAAAAGCCATTTGGACCCCCTCAGTGGGTTCCATTGACTCACAAGTATACCTGGCTCTCAATTGAAAAATTTGCAAGAAAGAAAAAATAAAACTAATTTAATGGAAAACCTGATACTTTTTTTTAAAAGCAAGTAGGATTTTAATACAGTGTTATATCAGAATTTAAAGAACAGAGTCAATTAGTAACTAACTAAAGAATATGTATTAGCCTGCCTTCCTTCAGAATATTTTCCTACTTTTTAATTGTAGCCTATGAGCTGCTGATAATTTAGCACATTAAAAAAAAACTACTTTAAGCTACTAGTCTGGTGATTTACTGCATTTCCAATGAAGTAAACAGCGGAGATGATACACAGCTCTAATGTCTAAGGATAAATTGTAACCTATGTTTTTTATTTAAATAACATCAGTCAAAATGCTTTACTGAAAGAATAAAAAATGAAAGTGTGTCAAGTCATGGAGATCTATGGAAAGATGACAGAAAACAGACAGCGTGACAGTCTAACATCTGCCAGTTTGAGAAAAACAGAACATTTATTCCAGAAAATGGCACTTGTTCAGCTTAGTTTCTTAAAACACAGTAAGTTTCTGTTAGAAGTACAGGTAATAAATGTTGTATACTCTCTTCTGACTACAGTGGCATTTCTTTTTTCATGACCCACTTCAAATATATAACATTGCACATGATGAAATGTGGTGGTCATCAGATTATATATTGTTTTCACTATCTTCCTGAAAAGGAACTAACACATTGCTATAATGAGAAGCCCAGTATATTACTGTAAAGAAAAAGGAGGGCAAGTTTACTTTCACAATTGTCACACAGATTTGCACCACGTCAGAGCCAAGCTGTGTTAGAGAAGAAAAGGATATCACAGAAGTATTCCTAGGGTGTCAACCATAGGAGTAACCACAGAGGTATGGGATAAAAAGCCTTTTCTAATCAGCTGGTTCTGGAAAGAAATGCAGGTGCTACAAAACCCAGATTGCCCCTCCAGTGTGAGTTATATAGTTACCAGACTTCAGAAGTCAGTGGTAGGGGCTGATTTGGTAGAGTACAAAGAGTGATTTGCTTCAGGCTTGAATTTAGGCAGGACTGGGTGTAGGCATAGATAAAGCAAGAGAAGCTAAAATGGAGGAGATCAGATTAGTGTGTGAAGGTGGGGTTGGTTTCACTACAGAAAAGTAGATTGGTTTACTTTGTTACGAATCAAAAGCAAGGGTGACTTCTCTGAAATATAAAGGCCTAGAATCTAAGAATCTGCTTCTGGGTGTAAGGATTTTTCCTAGCCCTAAATTGGATGTGTTATATTTTGTACGGAAATGAAATTAAATGGAATCCTTCATGGTTTAGATTTCTTTTCTCAAATAGGGATAAGTTGATATGTTATTGTTGCTAAACATTCGAGAACCTAAAAGTTGAAAGAAGTAACTGTTTTTATATTATACTTGGGTGCATGAAATGCTTTTTATACAAACTCTCCAGTTTGCTTTCCAGTTAAGGTTCATGGTTTAGTTTTGATCTAAGAAAACCAGATGCTTTCATGAGAACAGCTTCCTCAATTTACGCCCATGAAAATCGCAAATTTTCTGTTTTGTTTTGTTTAAAATTGAGAGAAAATATTGGGAGTGTTTGGGGAAGGGGAGTAAGAATTTTTGAAAAGGAATTGCTTACTCAATGATAATTCACATCCTTCGCTACCATATGATGTTCAGTTGTGTTTATAATAAGCACAAATCCTGAGCAAAACAATTTGAGGTATTTATTCCCTCCTAAAAAAGGATTTGGTAAGTAAATATGCCATCTCATTATATGTGAGAATTCTGTCTCATTTAAAATACTATTGTTATTTAACTATAAAACTCAATATAATTATAGAAAATATAACAATCACTGTAACTAAATATACTCTGCACACCATTGAACTGAGACTCAAAAGGAAAAAAAATGCATTAGAAAAAAATGAAGAAAAACAAGCTTAACTGTTTTCTTGGGCATTTTTATACATGTAATCTTTAAATCTAAATGCTATATGCATATTATTTTATACAACTATTGATTTTATTTCTTTATTGATGAGAATATGTAAACTATAACAATAAGAAAATTTGTGGTTCTGGGAAACTGGGTGCATAAAATGTTATATAACTAATTGGTTTTCAACCTTCAAGTCAGACACTAGTCAAGGAAATAATATGACCTTAGCCAATGGGAAAAATATCAAGCCAGATTTCTCCCAGCTGTGTTTCTCCCCTCTGTGGCCTTCAACAACTTCAGTGGAAGTTTAGTGTGTTTAAGGAGAAAGACAGCCAGAAGAATCAAAATTACTTAACCAAAAAGGTCAATCTTCAAATTAAATCTTGGATCAGGCCCACTGCAGAATAAGGTCTATGCTTTCCAACGTCCCAGTGCTACAAGCAATATGGCTGCCCAGCTACAACTCAAATGGAGCCCATATCACATGTAATTGAGGATATCCTGCCAAAGGAGTAAGTAAAAGAAAAACATTTGCTGGCTTTGAAATGTAGAAACCAAGGTATTAGTGTTTCCTTAGCATTCCTTTTGATTTCCAACTCAAGCTTATGGTAACTGCAAGAGATAGGAAAAAATCCTCAGAGGAGACAGGTCCTTGGATTTAATTCCATGTAAACACAGGGCCAAAGAATTTTGACAAAATTGTTGCTCACCAAAAGTTGACTTTACTTTTGAAGTTCTTGTGTGATCCATATTTAAAGTCAGACACCTTTATTAATCCAACAGTAGCATAAGGCAGTCAATAAGATGATATAATGGCCTTATTTTATTTTTAAAAATATTTTAAAAGGTCTTTCATAAGATTCTTTTCTATTTTATTGTAAAATCCTAACTTAAAATGTTTTCAAGGATTTTTCTGAGTAAATAATCTGAGTTCCTTTAAACTTTCAGATTTAAATGCCCAGATGCAGGTTTTTTTCCAAATAACTACAGATGCACTAATGATAACATTTAAACAGGATAAGTAACATGAAGTCCCTACTAACAGATAAAGGGAGAAGTTGTTTAACTTTTATACTTAGGATTTTAAAAACTGTTAACTTTATATTTTGTTGTCTTCCCTGTTTTTCAGGCTCAAGAAGATAAAACATTATGGTGTTAATTACAGTATCAGTAGAGATACTAGAAAAATTTCTTAATACCCCAAATATTACCCCAAACTGATATAGGTTATAGGAGACACCAGGACTGGGCTGCTTCTTCAAAAGGCTACTCCACTGAAATCTAAAAATATTCATTAACATAGCAAGAAATTCTGAGGGTTGATAAAACAAAACAGCTTGTTTAATGCAGCATAATATAGATTCTTCTCAGCTAGCCTAAACACATCACTCCTTTTTTTCATTTGACTTGTAATGTCAAACACACTTTGAGACATGAACATGTTTTTGCATCTTTTTTCCTCCTACCACAGAGACTAGCACATAGTGGGAATTCAATAAGAGGTTTTGTGAATGATTTCATCATAAAATGCATGCTGCACACTCAGGGGTTATGTTTGTGTCACTTAATTTTTTGATATGGAACATTTCCATGTTCTGTAGTAAGAACTGTGTTCACATTAATAGCAAGACACTCACTTCTGCACCTTTAAGTATGGTAAGCTAGGAACACACACTTTGAGTAGAAATAGAAGCATCTTTACAAAAGGCAAGAAACCTAATAAGCAGTTATATTTTAACAAACACAGAATGTCATGCACATTATTGCTTTATTTTCCTTGTCTCCATGCAGAATCTTTTGACCATGACCCAGTCGGATTGTTCCTAAATACCTACCATTATTAGAACTTAATACAAATCTTTCTCCACCAGTAGATTGGCATGTAAAGGGGGAAAATTCTAACAAACACTGATGTTGAGAAAAGCTGGGATATCAAAAGTAGGTAGATAGTACCAAATCACAGGAGAACTCTTGCAGAGTGAACCTCATAGATACAAGGGTTTGGTGCTATGAATTTTGGTCATTCTAAATGATAGATGGTCAAGAATGACTGGAGTGATCACAGTGGGATATCTGACCACAGAAAGACAAATAAATAAACTGTGCTATGAATTCTTTTCAGTGTTCTACAAATTAGATATCATTTATAAATTCTTTATTGCTATTAAAATGGATGATTGGAAATAATCTTAAGGTACTATCTGTAGTAATAGACTGTTGAGATGATTATATAACAATTCCAAGCATTTATAAAGTGGACTGCTTAATATATATGCATATCTCCATGACATGTTATAACACATGATAATTTATTAGGGAGAAAGCATTTTTTAAAAATCAATTATATATAAATGCTCCCTGAATCTAAAGTGCCGGCAACTTTTGCCTAGAGGAGAATTCATTTTCCAGCTTTTTAGTCAGTAATTTTTGAAAGGCATCAATTATAAAACCAAATTTTGGTCAGGAAATTGTGACTGACCACACTTGCAAAAAGAAAATGCATAGTGAAAAACATTACTTTCTCACTGGTAATAAATTAGCTGCATATTGTTCATGAACTGATATTATTTAGATTGGTTAAACTTATGTCATTCACAAGACCAACTGTATTTTCATTTTAGTCAATGTTCGGCAATACCAAAGAACCAAAGCCCCAGGTTCATCTGTTAGATAACCTGGACCAGATGGCAGCAAGGGTAGATAGGCTATTTGTAGAGTAATTTCACTTTGTTTTTTTGTTGTCATATTCCTCCTTCTTGGATTGTGGACTTGTTCCATTCATTGGTAAACTTGTGGCATCTTCCTTGATTGAAGCTGAATGTGGAGCAATGGTTCTTTTGGTGAATGCTAGCAAGGTTAGAGGAAAGAGAAAAATCAACCACCATGAATACAAAACCTGGGCTAAAAATTAATTTTGCAGAAGGTAATTGATTAATCATGGTATTCAATCAAGCTTTCTGTCATTAAACTTTATATGGACTAACAGACTTGTAACATCAGTTACTATATTTTCAAAAACATTCACATGATTGTAAAAACTTATTTTTTATTTTTTGGTTGGTACCAGGGATCGAACTCAGGACCTTGCACTTGCAAGGCAGGCACGGTGGCGGTGCCACTGAGCTAAATCGCCAGCTCATTTGAGAGTTATTTGAGAGTGGAAAATGTGTATCTGTCAAAATACAATGATATAAACACACACAGAGAGAATTCTAGAGGGAAAAATCATTACGGGCTTCCTTTTAAATGGTATCCTTGTTTTTTACATTCTCTTGTCTACTAAGAGGAGATCTGGAAGCTGGGTTTTACTGTTTTTCTATTACTTCTCACTTCTCTTCTGAGCTCCAGATGCCTAACTCCCACTGTTGGTCTGAAATCGTCTCTTGATTTCTACTCTTTGATGCCTGCTAGTACCTTATTATTCTCCATTTTAGAAAATGGTATACTCCCATTCATAAGGTTCTCAAACCTTTTTTTTCTTTCCTTTTTTTTTTTTTGTGGTACTGGTGATTGAACCAGGGCTCCACTGAACAACATCCCCAATGCTGTTGTTATTTTTTTAATTTTTAAATTTTTTCTTTTACTCTTTTCCCGAGACAGGGTCTAAGTGGTTCAGGCTGGCCTTGTACACACTATGTAGCCTAGACTGGTATTAAACTCATGGTAACCCTCCTGCTTCACAGGTATGCACCGCTACACCTAGCTTCTGGTTCTTTTTGTTTTGTTTTGTTTTTCCTTTTAATTTTGGTTTTTGAGACAAGGTCTTGCTCAGTCACTAAGCTGCCCAGGCCGGAGGCAAACTTTCAGTCCTCCTGCCTCAGCATACCAGAGTGCTGGGATTACAGGCATGGGCCACCATACCTCACATACATAGCTAAGGTTCTCAAACTTTGGTCCTCTCCTTCCTTTGTCCTGGTTGCTCCATCTATCCAGTCTAAGATTGCATTCTGCTAGTTCTACCTCCCACCTTCTCCCGGGGTCTTTTGTTTCATACCATCTCCATTATCATCATCAAGGTCCAGATCAGCATTTTCACTCTTCCTGTTTCTATCTTTCCCCTTACTCTCATTTTCCCACAACCCAATCAGACGATCTTTCTAGAAAGTCAATCAGATTATGTCACTCTTCTGCATAACCTTTTGACCCCTGCCCCTTCACACTGTCCAGAGAACTCAGAATCAAATCCAAACATTTGGTCATGGCTGCAGCCTCCCTCTCATTGGTGTTCCATCTCTTTAGCACACCATGATTTTCTGGGCTTTTGAGATTTCTTTTCTTTCTTCTCTGGGCTTTTGAGATTTCTGCTCATGGCATCCTGGTAACTCTTCCCATGCAATTCCAACTCACCTGCTTACAGCTCGGTTGCACCCTCTTCCAAGCCACCCCTAACCCCATGTGTACAGTGCTCCTGCCCCAGGTACCATCCATCATTTTACCTCTAATGCACCAATCCCCACTCTGAATCATTTGCTTGCTCTCTCACTACCTATTTCTCCATGAGATAAAGGGATCTTATCTGTCTTATTCACTACTTTCTCCTCCAGAACCAAACACAGAGCCTTGGAAACAGCCTCTCAATAAATACTGGTTTAATAAATGAATATACTTAACAGATGTTTAAGAGATAGTCAAATGCAAATTATCTAGCTGTACACCAGAATATCTATAGCGTACCTTGTCAAATCACAATAATCAGAACTCAATTATTCAAAAATATCTCATATTTAATTGGTCAGTGGAAAATACCTGAAATGTAGTCATATGAATGAGCCTAAAGAATGTGACAGAGAGAGAGAAAGTGAGAAAGTGCTTTCATTGACTAATTCACTGAAGATAAGAAACAATTCTTCTATATGTTGATTGCTATAGATTGTTGGCATTTTATCCCATAAATGTGAGACAGCTTAGTTAAGTAGTGTCCATTCACAGCCAGGTGGAACTGGAACTGTAAATGTATGAGTATAGTATGCTTTTCTTGTTGTAGATAAATTTTTTTTTCATCCAAGGGCTCTAAATACTCACCAATAGCACTTCAAAATGAGAATGCTAACTTTTGTTTTCATAGCAATGTAAATTGAGGTAAAGAAGTTGATTTTTAAGCAACTTTCACTGATTTGCTTTTCTAAGATTAAGTTAAAATGTATGATTCACTTCTAACTCCTATAATGATTCTTAGATAACATTTTGGCCCCCTAAAAAAAAAAATCACAGGTCTTTCTTTTTGCATTTACTTATCATTTTAATAACTGTTACTTTTTAGAGCAGTTTTAAATTTACAAAAACTTTTCAACCTACATGTTTAGAAACACTAATTCCACAGAGATGAAGCATTTAAGTCTCAAAGAACTGGAGATTTCTAGAAGTCCTCAGATTGCTACAGACCTCACTCATGTCTAGACTGGTTCCAGCCCCAAGAGTGAAGGCCCTGTCCAGGGGTTGTGTTCTAAAAGGAGCTATACATAGAGACTAGTGGTCAGTCGGTACTTATAAAAAGTAAAAATGACAGTTCCAAAAGCTGACATTATGAGTCTCTTTTACTAAGCCCCCACTGTCTACAGGCCGAAGGTAATGGAATTCAAGTCCTTCTAAAAGAGTGTCCTGACTCATGGCCATAACTTTTAGCCAGCCAGGATAAATTTGGTAGTGATCATGCCTTTAAATAATGGATTTCTCTGTTCCTATTTCCAATGGTAATATAAACTCACAATTTATACATTTCTTCCCTTCGTCCTGGCAGAAGGAATCTACCTTTTCATGATTAACCTGAACTACACAAAGCTGACATAAATTACTTTTTAAAACAAACTTTCATTAATACTGGATCATTTTGGAGACCACAAATTATGCAGTATTTTCCCATTTCCTTTGTTTTTTCCATGGTCAGTGATTCTGTGCTTTCCTTTGGTCACAGGTTGACAGGGCACCTAAGTGAGCAGAATGAATGCCTCAGTGTCTAGAGTGTAGACAAAAGGGCTTCATCCAGTACAAGCTCCAACCTGAGTAAGAAGTTGCCTGTTCTGTGGACCAGAGCTCATGCCTGCCCAAAATCTATGGCCATCTACTCCCCAAGGCCTAGACAGGTCTAAGCAGCTCAAAACGTCAAAGCCCAGCTTTCATGTTCCATTTCCAAGTTAACAGGAATATTGGATGTTTGCGGGTCAGACATAAACACTGGGTTTTCTTAATAGCACTTATCTTCAGAAAACTCACCTTCAGCCAAAATGTGCACACACACATCAAACAGTACCAAAGGGTTACACAGAGAAATAAGAATCTCTCACCTCAGCCCTCCTAATCCTACCGTCCTATTCCCCAGAGTCAACCACAATCAACAGTCAACTCTTTTAGGTTTATTTTCTGTATTTGCTTCATTTCTGTAAAAACAACAACAAATATATATATATATATATATACATATATATACACATACATATATATGTATATATATATACTATTTTCTGACTTATCATTTTTAGACATTCTTCACACCCAACCACTTTTCCTTCCCTATCCTCCCAATATAGCTAGCTGCATCTCAACTTTTAGTTATGTCAATACTGTATTTATATTTTTATGACTATATAAATAAATATGGCTCATACAAACCTAATAGGTATAGTTTATTAATTGCAACATATTTTATTTGTTGTTTCTCAGTTACGATCTTGTTTCTGAAAGCTCTCTTAGATCTTCCGTTACATCTTTTCGTAGCTATTTTCCTAAATGCTCAACTATGTATCAGATAATCTGTCCTTCACTTTGCTTCCTAAAGATTCTCTCAATGGAATGTCTTTCTTCCTTCACGGTGGGAGATCTTAAAAACATATGTATCCAGATAAGTAGCTAGAATTGGATAAAATAAGACAACACTGGCACATATCATCACAAACTCACTTGGGCTAAAGAAAAAAGTTTCTAAAAGTTCCTGGGCCAGGAGAAGGGAATGCTAGAATTGGAAGGGAGATGGAGATCACTTCAAAAAAATAGATATCTAATAGGTGTGATTTTTCAAGAGCAACATTGGCTCAGAAGGAAATTCATTTACAACTTTAGAATCTTAGAGCCAGTTAATCTCAATGGAAATGGAGTCAATGGAAGAAATGCAGTACATGGAAGGCATCTATTTTCAGAAACCAAAAACCTTTACCTTCTTTTATTTTGATGTGCTCCCACAATAGAAAGGAGGAAAACAAAAAAGAGGAAGGCGCAGGATCTGGGAAACTTGGGCATGAACATAGGAAGAGGGCAAAGAGAAATGATGGGATGACATTTGCCCAGTAGGCACGTGCTTGGCTGAGCCCTACTGGTCTGGCCACTCACTGCCTTCTGCTGTTTGCTTCCTCACATCTCTCATTTAGTCATGTATTATCCCTCATAAACTGATTTTCTAAATATCTTTTCTCTTCTATTGTCCTATTCTTTTTTCCTTTTACTTTCTTTGTAGTTTTCTTAACTTTGTTTTCCACATTTCTAGTTTTCTTTTGTTACCATATCAACCATATTCTAAGATTCATAGATCTCTTACCCTTGTGTTCCTTTTTAATAGTATCTTTCTCTTGTTTTTAATGGACCTAATACTTTCATCTCTTCAAGGTGACTTCCACTGTTTTCTGTATAATCTATTTGCTGTAGGTTCCAGTTTTCTCTTTCTTGGTCTTGACATTTCATTTTAATTTTGGAGGTTTAAAGGAAGATTAAAGGACAATTTCTATAAGCTGAATTTATTTGTGCTAGAAAAATGGAGAAGTATTTTGAGTAATCCTAATTTTTCCCACATTTAATATCCCTCATTATTAAAAACAGAAAATTCAAGGTCCTTTAGAAAATCAAATAAGAATAAATTATTCCTAGACATAAGTTTAATTCAATTAGTTAATAATTAATGATGAGATAGTTGTAATTAAATTTTGAAAAGTATTCTTTAAAATATGGAGATGGGAGGAAAATTGTAAAACAAACTTGTTAACAAAAAGAGTAAAACATGAGGCTGAATTCATAAATTAGGTGATTAAATTGATAAGCTAATTTTAAGCTAAATTTTCAGTCCAATTTTACAATATAAATGGTAACTAATATTGTCTCATACAAATTACATTATTGATATTTTTCCTATTCTTATATAACTTTACTTCCTTTTGGATGAGTATATTTATGTAGAAATGTATGGATGTCTATGACAAATTATATCTTAATTAGAGAAATGACCAAAGCTGGTCACAAATGCTAGAGTAGAAAACTGGAAACAGTTTCTTTCATTGACTATTATGAATAAATCTTGATGTTTTCCACTAATGTCCTCTAACCACTTCCTTCTAGATGCCTTTTTAGGAAGCCTCACGAAAGTCATAAAAGCAAAATGAAGTAGCAGGAGAATAATGATTTCCATGCTCATATCATAGAGCTGTTCATCTCCAGGCTCTTGAAAGTTTTAATGGATGGAATTTTCTGAGGTTTTGAGGGTGCTTAGTTTCTACCCTCGTCTTCTGTGTTTATGAAACAGACCTGGGGCAATTTTTCCATATTTTCAGATTGGGATATAAATATTTCAGATTGCAAGTTTCCATATCCAACTTGAGACATAATTCATATTGAACAGTCGCTACCAGATTAGAATAGCAAAAGGTTTTATGAAGATACAAAATCATTTGGAAAAATGATTAGAACAGGAAAGAGAAAGTGCTTAGCTTTTGGAATAAAATGATCATGATGTAATGAAAATCAAATTATTTATCAGAAACTAATAAATATATATTCAATCCATCTATGTATATAAATTAACAAAAATTAGAGTTACTACCTTTGAACATCCTTGTAATTTATTTTGGTACATTAATTTTTTAGTAATTTAGGTATTTTACATAACAGAACTATCATATTTAATGTACAACTGTCCAGGCCCATAGTAAACTGAAGAACTAAACTTTATGTAAGTAAGAATCTATTAAATAATATTTGAATCCCAATAATTTAGGAAAAAGCAAACTAAACAAGCTAACTCATATATTTATTCATCTAATATAACTGAGTATCAACTGGGCTTTTACTATGGGCCAAGTACTATGTAGAGTGCTAATGAATAGTGGTGAAGAAAAGAGCATTGCTCTTGTCTTCCTTGAGTCCATTCTTTGGGGGGAGAAAAGAATTGGTAAACAAGAAGTCACTACAATAATAACTATGAAATTATTATATTGAGAAAGATTTTTGAGGAAAATTGTAAAACACAGTGGTTGCTTAGAAACCACCTTTAAAACTGTTAGACCAGCTGCCTTCTTTATTTTAGTTTACTAGTACATGTGTGCAGCACATAATGTTTACATTGTGTGGAGTTGGTGCATGTACATAACACATCGCAATAACTGTTTTTCATTTCTTACCCCCCCACTCCATTTCTTGATCCTCTTCCACAATTCATAATAGCTAAATCTTGGCAGTGGCCTACATGTCCATCAATAGATGAACGGATAAAGAAAATGTGGCATTTCTATACCATTTGCTATAAAGAAAGATAAACTGGAGTCATTTATAGGAAAATGGATGCACCTTGAGACCATAGTGTGAAGTGAAATAAATCAGACACACAACTTTAAATATCACATGGTTTCTCTTATATGAGAAGCCCAAAGTAGGAAAAGACAGATAATAGGAAACAGGGAGATAGATCATCTTCTTTAAAGACATTACATGGACCAGGGATTTAGCTCAGTGGTTCTGCTGCCTTCCTCACAAGCACAAGGCCCTGAGTTTGATCTCCGATACCAAAACAAAAAGACATTACATACACTCTGAATATTAAGAATCGTGCAGTCAAGAAGGGGAAGAAAGGGGACACATGGTGGCCCATGGCATCCTGGGCCCAGGGCCTTCTACCTCATTAATGTTTATGACATTTTATCAACATTTTCAAAGTATTCACAGAAAGAAATCTAGCAGGCACTAGTACTAGTATCCTTACTCTTTGTATAAGATTACATTTATTTTTTTACAGGCATATGCAAACATTTTTCTTTTACTGATGATTTGAATTTTTAAAAATTACTTTCTTTACCCACTCATCCATAGTTATTAGTAATCTCCAAAGATCAATTTTGCTCAACATTTCTACCTATAGTGATTTAAGTTTTCCTGAGAAATATAGGGTCTAAAAAGGGACTTCATGTATATATGTTTTAAGAATCAGGTAATATTACAAATGTACTTGGAGGTGGGGATCAGTTTTATGATTCATAATGAAAATATTCTCAAACTTATAACACAAATATTACTATAATGTATTGGCCTTCATTTTTTTCCCATGAATTGCATTTCCTTACACCCAATTTAAGAACTGGTACAGGACTTTATTACTTACAGTTCAAGTGTGAAAATTGTGGACTAGACAGGAAGCGATTGTGATCCTGCCAAGAAGATGAGTGATCTAACCCACGAGTGTAGGAACCTTCAGCACAGGTTCTAACATCCTAAAAAAGGCAGTATACATTTCAATGCAATATTACAAATTGTAAAAGCCAAGACTCATTCAAATGTATTGAAGTTGAACCTGAACCTTAATATGCAAGCTATATTATATTTGCACAACTTACTATAATTAAAATCCCTTTAAAAATGAAATATGTTCATGTTAGAGAAAATATATTTTAAAAAAAGAAATCACTTATTGCTATGGAAGCATGACATATTTCTTTCCAGTCTTTTTCCCCCTTTGAATAGAATTTATAAACATAGTCTTAAAACTTTGTTCCTTACATTTACATTATAAATAGCTCAGAAATCATTATAAAATCTTCACCTTACCTTAAGGGTGAACTCAATACTATCCAGTAGATACACTATGCTTTACTCAGCCATTATTTTACTTGGCATTTAGGTTATTTCCAGTGTTTTACTACTATAAATAACAATGTGAGAAATATCTTTAAATATAACCTTTTCCATATTTAGGCCTATTCCTTATGACAAATTCTTACATGGAAATACTGAGTCAATAAAAACAACCTGATGTTTTTAAACATTTAGCTAGACAGCCTTCTATAATGATTCCATTAATCCTCTGACCCATTCCACAAATATTTAATAAACAAAAATGACTATGTAAAATATCTCTCTCCTTACATAGTGTATGAATGCCTCTTTCTCTCCAAATCTTATCTGAAAATGAGGATTATAACTTTAAGTAATATTACCAATTAATAGATTAAAACAGGTAATTTAAGAAACAGTAAAACTGCATTCTTTTTTCACAAGTGTTTTATAATTATTCATTATAATTTTTTTACTCATTCGTTCCATAATTTATTGGGCACCTTCTATGGCTGAGCAAAGAATAAACAAGACCTCAGGATGCTGAGGAAATTTTCCAGGCTTATAAGGGAGAAAGGCATTAAACAAATATATTGCACCAAACATGGTATTATTAAAACCTATCATAACTATTGTAAGAATAGTAAATAACGGGAAGAACCAAATTTAGATGGGAGGGCCAAGAAGACCCCCCCACCCCAGGAAGATAATATTTAAGGCAATATTTTAATGCTGAGAGTTGAACCAATGAATTACCCTGGTGACAACTTACAGGTGGCAGATGGGAAAATAGACAGTGGAGTGGGGAAGCAGGGAATGATGTTCAGCCTTAAGTAAGTGCTGCAGAGAGCATGTTTGCTGAAGGGATGCCTCAGGGTTCAGGTATACTGAGCTTGGAAGAGGGGGTTATGTGAAGTGGGTAAAGTTCATGTTTAGGATTTCGAATTTTTCTTTCTAAAGAGATGGTCAGAAGGCAACCAAGGGTTTTGAGAAGAATGATAAGGGCTGATTTATACTTTTCAATGCAGGTATTGAGGTAGGATTATCAGTTAAAGGCTGATAAGGACAACTATGGGGTCTGAAGAGAGGGAGGGATTCAAAATGTTGCAAAAGATTCTACATGAAATAATACTGGGTTGGGTATACCAAAAAGATTTCTCAAAACACACGGCCCCCATGTATAGTAAGGCGATGTGTAACATGATGATCTGATGAATTCGTTGTCATTCTCTGTACCAAGTACCAACTTTATATTTATTTTTGTCACATACATTGTATGTAACTGCAAAGAATGGCCAGAAAGAAAAAAGGTATACATATACAAGGCCAACTGAGCAAAAAGTACGTATATAATCCTTACATAGTTCAAGATCTTAATCTTTATGTATAAAAAGAGAGTTTAGCTCTATTTAAGATGAAGACACTGAGGTTTTTAACCAAGTGATTTTTTTAACCCATTATGGGGATTTCATTACTACTTGGGAGCTATTTACCATAGGATTTCTGGGAAGGAGAGGATATTCATTGTATTTTGAATTACAGCAACTATTTATGAATGAGCTGACATGGGCAATTTGGGATCAGGTGAGCTAGCTATCAACTGTGGCTCAGATGTGAAAATTAAAAACCTAGGTGGGGTGGGAAAACGCATAAATGGAAAGGAGGTTAGAGCCTCAACCAATGGTAGAAACCCTACTGAATCATGGTTTAGATTTGAAGCATGAAATTGTGAATGGTTTCCCGCTAAAAGATGCTTTAGTGATTAAGGGCCAGTAAGAGAAAAGAAACACATATTTTTCTCACTGACACCTGAGAACAACAGTGAACAACCAGAGTAGAGATACAGATTTGGTCATAATGCTGCAATAGATAGTATAAAGATAGCCTTGAAATGCACCTACTAGAGGAAGGATAAAAATATACTTAAAAAAACCAAATATTCATTCTCTCCAAAGAGAAATGATTTTTAGATTTTAAAACAAAATCAACTGGTATCAAAACGGAGGTTATACCCTTCTTTTTACCAAAAAACAGAAATTTGTATTTTTACTGATAAAGCCAGCTTCTTGGTATATGATGGTTAAAATATGGCACTGGCACATTTCATTCCTAGCAAGTCTGGAAAATACAAGAAAACATTAAGAAGTTACATGATCCAACAAACTGAAAATACCTCATTAACCTAATTTAAGGTACAGTTTTCCATTTCTTCTTTATAAATATCTTCTTATATTGAGATCATCATTTGTTGGCAGTTTTCTTTCCTATTCTTCCTCTTGCGCCCCCTTCCTCCTTTCCTTGGGGGATTGAACCTAGGACATGGCATCAAGTAGGCATATGCTCTATCACAGTTACACTCCCAGCCCTTCCTATTTTTTTAAAATAACATTCTGTGTGGGAATTTTCTCTACAATCATCATCATCGTTAGTGCAGAGCATAGTTTATTATACTAATCTATTTTCACACATTCAAGGTTGATTTTAGTTTTTTCTATAAGTAATCATTTGATGCACATCTTGGTACAAAAACCTCTTCATATTTTCTTTATTTGATGTATACTCCTAGAAGTATAATTAGTGGACTGTAGGAGACCAGAGGAGAATTGAGACCTAACTGGCCTCCTCTGTGAGCACAAAGGGGCAAGGCTGCACTCAGAGGTGACTGAATATTGCAGGCATAAGAAAAAGTTAAGACAGCTGGGGTTAAGTTGTCTACCAGAGAATGTACTAGCGAATATTGGAAAGCAGATGAATCTTGTGTTATTTTGATTGCTGTGCCTGTGTTTGTGTGAATAAAGGCAAGTTGAGCCCAACATGGGGGGAGGAGTCCTCTGCCTACTAGGAAGCAAGAGCCCTTTGGCTGCCAGCATTAAACTGGTGTCTCTTTGTCATTCATCCTCGTTCACCCCCGGGTCAGGGAGAGCAAAGCAGGTCTAGGTCCACGAACAAGGCAAGTGGTCAGCTACAGTGGACAGCAGATTTTAAGACTGTTTATATACAGTTCACCTAAAACAAGAAGCTTCTGAGTAGAGTGTTCATAAAATCCTCTAATTATCCTTTCAATGTCATTAGGAGCTCTAATAATATCCTTCTTTCATTCCTAATATTGGACATTTGTATACATTTTTTCTAAGTGGTCTGCTATACGTGTTTCAATTTCATCAATTTTTTTCAAGGAACCCAGTTTTCCTTTATTTTTGCTATTTGCTTTTTATTTCATTGATTTCTTTTCCTTAGCCTTTCCTTACTTTTATACACTTTGGACTTAATATGCTCTTTCTTTTCTATTTCTTTGAAGGAAATTGAGATTGTTGATCTTTCTTCTTTTGTAGAACACGCATTTAACATTGCAAATTTCCCCCAAGCACTTTTTAGTGGATCTCACAAAATTTGATAGGGTGTGTTTTTATTTTCACATAGTTAAATATTCTAAATTTCCTTTGGATTTCTTCCTTAACCCATACTTGGATTATACAAGACTTTTGCTTAATTTGTAAATATTTGGGAATTTTCCAGATATATTTCTGTTATTGATTTCTGGTTTCATTCCATTGTGGGTAAATGATATATTTTGCACAATTTCAATCATCTCAAACTTACTGAAATTTCTTTTATCAAAGTATAGTCTATCTCGGAGAACATTCAATGTATACTTGACAAATATGTGTAATTAGCTGTTGTTGGGGTATTCTGTAAATGTCAGATAGGTCCAGGGAGTTGATAGCGTAAAGTCTTTTCCATCTCCATTGATGTTCTGCCTACTGTTATCATTACTCAAAGAGGAGTGTTGAAATTTCCAACTATAATAATGGATTTTTCTATTATCTTTACAGTTGTATCAGTTTTGATGCTCTGATAAAAGGTGAATGTACAGGTAGGATTCTTATTCCTTCCCTTTATAACGGTTGATTTATTCATCATTCAACCACTCACATATTTTTTTCATACATAGAAAATGAAGGAATTTAATGATAATATTTCTTTGAGTTCTAACATTTTATAACTTCAAAGAACTTTTTTTTTTTTTTTTTGGTACTGGGGATCGAACTCAGGGCCTTGCGCTTGCACAGCAGGCGGTGAAACCACTGAGCTAAATCCCCAGCCCTCAAAGAACTATTATAATCTTCCATATTACTTTGAAATAGAGCCAATGAAATTAACATTGAAAGAAAAATATCTCATGATCTCTTTGAACAATCAGTATACTAGTACATGAAAAAATACATTCATGTCTCCAATTCAGTAGTGATTATTTTATCTATAGAAATTCTATATATATAAATTTTGTGAGTTCATCATAAAATGTTTAATTCCTACCTATTGTTGAATCAATTAAGTATTAAAAGGAAATTTTATGTATTGAAAAGGACTCACTGCAATTTTTTTGATTGACTGCAATTTTGATCATATCAGCTTTTTTTCAAAACCAATTTAAACATCTTTAGCACAAGGATCTATTTTTATATAGTCTTAAGTCTCAACAAACTAGGTAGCCAGAATTCTTTGCAAAACTTATATTGAAGAAACCTGCATTTCCTAATATTTTCCCTGGGTTTTTTCCACTTCTCTTTCATAATCCACATTGTAATTGGTTTCTTAGTCTTTTTTTTTTTTTT